TTGCAATTGTCAATCTGTTTTAGCAGTCATCTTCTGGAAATTTTATTCTATGCAACCAAAGAAAATAACAAAAAGAAAAAAAATACACTCTGAAGAAATTGAGGAAACGTTTCTATTTCGTTCAACCATATTTCATATAAACGTATATGATGGTTCATAAGAGATGGACTAAGGCAATAATATTATTACAAATTTATTTTACGATGGAGATAATGAGTTACAAATTAGCAAAAACATAATTTGTGTATAGTTTGTTATGTCAAACTGATATTAGTAAGTGGAATCACTTAATGAATTTTTACGAAAATCTGAGTATTACTACAAAATTATCGTTAGATTATGATAATAAAATACAAGCAGAAGTAGGCACTTCATTTGCCACGTGATTGTTCCATGAGTTTTGACAAACGAAAGTTAATTTATATATGGACGAGATTCAAATTTGTGAGTCTTTGTATGATTCTAATACAAAATTGATTTCATGTACCATCCACGTCATTAACTTTCTAGTTTCTGTCATATCATTACCACGCAGGCACTCTATTTGTCACATAAATTGTTCCGTTCAATTTGATTGATAAAACTTAATTCATGTACGAATGAGATACAAAATCTTGAGCTCATGTATGATTTTGATACACGAGACGAAGTTCATGTACGGCTTGCTTAATACCTTCAAATTACCTACTAAGGTATGGTCTTATAATTAAGGGAAAATTGTACTTCTCATTTTAAACATTTATTTCTCAACAACACGTTGTTTAAACTCAACTTTTTATTTTTTTAATGGCATTGTCACCGTGACATTATCCTTTCTCACTCTCGAATTCAATTCACATTAAAACATGTAATTGTCTGAGAGGGTGTATTCAACGTAGATTGTTAAAAGACTTTTATGGAATTAAAACAAGGGTTATCTTCAACATCTAACCCCAAACCATAGCCGCCACAACCACCAACACTCTTGCCTCCACCATCCTTACAGTCCCCAAGCACCGTCCCCAAACCAAAATCCAAAACTTTAGGTCACGATAATTTTTTCAAACTAATTGTAATCATATTAATACAATGTACCAAACATATCATTACTGCTGAATGTAAGTGCTAAACGAGATATTAGGTATACGGAATCACTAAGATTGTTATGGAGCAAACAAGATACTAGAATTGTTCTGATATCACTTGTTATGGAACAAACAAGATACTAGAATTGCTTTGATACCATTTGTTATGAATTTAGATTACAAGATAATGACGATAGTGAAATAAACAAGAATATATAAATCCTAGAGAATAAGTTGTAAAAGAATAAGTATCCAAAATCGAGTCAAAAACGAAAATGGGCTTCGGGCGAAGCTACAGGGCAATGTCAGACAAATGACCAAGTCTCAGGTTAATTTTTACCTGGCTCACTCTAGGGACCAGCTAGCGCCAAACTAACGAAAAAAACCACTCCAATTTAGACTATAATACTCGCTAAAATTTGGGTCAAACCACGATATAGATGGTGAACATTTGGATGTGTAGCACAAGGCCCACCATGGAAATTTTTTAAGACTACACAGTGAATTTTTCTCAAGATTGCTTAAAAGTTAAAACAATCATCGCAAAAAGATACGATTTTGAAAAATA